CCTTTAAGAGGACAAACTTCCACCCTTAGTACAGCATGCTCCCTGACCTAAATACCTGGGAGGCCCCTAAAGTCTTGTAGCACTTGGGTAGCAAAGCAGGCAGCACCAGGTCTCAGATAGCTTCCTCATGCAGGAGCTCCTTCCCCGGCAACTCACCTGCCACCTGCACGGACATCACCCTCTGGTCAGTGCCGGCGTCACACTCGTAGGAACCGGCATCACTGTGCTGGGCCCCGAGGATGGTCAGTTGCCGCAGGCACCCCTTCTCCGCAACCCGCACGCGCTCGCCGGGCACCAGCTCCCGGCCGTCCCGCAACCACCGCACCGCAGCGTTGGGCCGCGACACCTCGCAGGCCAGCACCAGGTCTTCACCAGCCACGACACAGCGCCGCTCCCGCGCCCCCGCACTCCCCACGATGGACACTGGCGGCTCTGGGCAGGGGAAAGGTGGGCTTAGGGCTAGAAGCAGTGGACCCCAGGGTCCCCCAGGCTCTCGCGCCCCAGACTCACCTTCCACGGTGACGTAGAAGATGAGGCTGTCGTCACGGGTATCGCAGAGGTACTCGCCCACATCATGGCTCTCCACGCCCAGCACAATGAGCGCACGCCGGGCCCCATCCTCCTCCACACGCACACGCCCCGTGTCCTGCAGCTTCTCCCCATCCTTGTACCACTTGGCCTCCCCATGGGCGTGTGAGAGCTGCACCTCCAGCACCAGGTCCTCACCCGCCTGGCAGTGGCGTTGGGTCTGCAGATCACCCTGGCCCAGGATCCGCACGCACGGGTCTGGCAAGGACAAGCAGCTGCAGTGAGCCCCAGGTGAGCGCAGAGCAGGATTCAAGGAGGGTAACAGTAGCAGGCAGACGAGAGCTAGGCGCCCACCTGCTACAGCAGTAGGAGCAATAGATGCTCCTACCGGAGCACCCCCAGGCTGGGCTACGTTCTCCCGGGTCCGGCTGGATGGTCCCAGCTCTGGGCCCATGCTCAGGAGAGGACCCGAGGCAGGACACCTGATGTGCCGAATGTCTCTGGGTGGGAAGGAGTGGGGCAAGAGCTCCTGGTGGGAGCTGGGGAATGGGGTGAGCAACAGGAGCCCTGAGCTCTCGGGGCTGGAGGCAGCAGAGAAGAGCAACCAGCTTGTGGCACTGCCATGGTGGGCTGGGTGATGCACCCAGTAGCCGGGGCCACACCCCTCCCCAGTCCCCTCTGAGCTGTCACAGCCTGGATGCCCGAGGAAGGGAGATCATGGGCACAGCACCCCTCACTCCAGCCTAGACCCGGGCACCTGATGTCCAACTCACCTGACACCTGCACAGTGAAGGTCCTGGCATCATTGCCCACGTTGCAGACATACTTCCCAGAGTGCTCCGGGCCAGCCGCGGGGATGACCAGTCGTCGGTGTGTGCCCTCCTCCTCCAGGATAAGGCTCCCACCAGCCTCCAGCCAGGTGCCGTCCTTGGTCCACTGCACGGATGCGCTCACACGTGAGAGCTCGCAGGCCAGTGTCACCGTCTCCCCCGTGCAGGCCTGCAGGGTCGGGGGGGCTTTCCAAGGCTGCAGGATTCTCACCGGGGGCTCTGGAAAGGGAGCCCAGAACAGGGTCAGGGGCACAGGGACAGCAGGGCTGCCCTCAATCCCGTGCTGGCTGCTAGGCCAGGAGGAGCCATTTGAATGGGAACACGCATGTCCTGACCAGCCCAGAACAGCCCAGCCTGGGAACACCCGGGCCTCAGAGCTGTGTGGACCCAGGGGGTTGAAGCATTGAGCGCCTGTTGGGGCCCAAGACACAGGGCACACACGTGTCTGTCTGTGACCCAGGTTGCTCATGCTAGCAGTCGCACACCACTGAGCACCAACGTGCCCCCAAGCCACAGCTGCCCCTCCCTGAATGCAGCCCCGCAGCCATCAGCCAAGGGAAACAACCCAACACCTCGTCTCCAGAAACAGGCACAGGGCTCCCAAACCGGGAACACAGCAAGACCCCAAGCCACGAGCTCATACCAGACCTCATAGGTTCAGGGGTTGCTGATGTGGAGCCAGAGCAAGTGCTACAGTGGGGGTCTGGGTTGCTGGGGTTGGGACGGGGTCCTGAGGGCTTGGGCAGGACAGGCATGGGCACTTGGGACTACAGTCAGCAGCCAGGGTGGCTCAGGGGCCGTGCTGTTTATTTGGTACCTCCTACAGCTGCTCAATGGCAGGCAAGCCTCTGAACACCATTGTGAGATAGCTAGGGAGCCTGGCCATACGCAGCGTGAGGAGCCCTGGCCAGGTGACCGGGAAAGACCCCGCAGCCGGAGACCCTGGCAGCACCACCCTTCCCTGTGCAAGCCCCCTCCCTGCCATGTGCTCACCGGACACCCTGACGTCAAAGGAGACAGACTCATCCCGCGTCTCGCAAATGTACTCGCCGGCATCCTCAGTGCCAGCCCGCGGGAGGACCAGGCAGCGCCGGGTGCCCTCAGCCATCAGCAGCAGGTCGTCCGTCTCGTCCACCTCCAGCCCATCCTTGAACCAGCGCACTGGGGCATCCGCCACAGACAGCTCACATGCCAACTCCACGCGCTCCAGCACCAGCACCCGCAGCTCCAGCACACGCTCCTGCGGGCACAGGATCCTCACCCGCGGCTCTGCTGGGCACACAGAGGGACAGGGGCATGGGCAGGCCTGTGTGTGGTCGGGACCCTGCACCACCCCACGCCCTGCCCCACAGAGACCCATCCCCACTGGCTCCTCTGGGCCCCGGAGTGACCCCGGCTGACCCTGGAGCTCCCCAGTCCCCTGCCCGCCAGGAGCCCGGTTCCCCCGGGCAGCGAGGTCTAATGGAGGCCAGCGATTGCCAGGACCTGGCTGATGGTGCGGTGACTTCTGGGCAGCCCAGGTGCCAGCAGCAGAGATGGCTGCAGAGCAGGCTGAGCAATGAAGGGAGACCCCAACAAGCGACCACCCGACCTATGGGGCCGAGCCCAGCCCAACTCAATCCAATCTCCACCAAAGGTGAAGCCACAAATGACCAGAACAGCAAGCAGCCGGCGCTCCCAGAGCACTGCAGGAAGAGCCCACAGACTGGTGTTGTGGACCTACCATCTGGGTAGGCCAAGGACAGGGCCCCAGACCCCCCACCCCCACTGAAGGAGCTGTGCGGGGGCGTCATGCACCTGCAACAGTGACGCTGTAAAAGACGGAGTCGCCGCCCGCATCGCACACGTACTCGCCCGCATCCAGCGGCTGGGCGGAGGGCAGGACGAGCCGGCAGCAGGGCCCCGAGCGCTGCAGCACAAGCCGGTCGCTCTCCTCCACCTCCACCCCGTCCTTGTACCACTGCACCGGGGCGTTGGGGCGGGACAGCTCGCACACCAGCTCCACGCGCTCCGATGCCGCATACGCGTGTGCTGCCGCCTCGTTGGAGCTGATGACCCGCACAGGCGGCTCTGCAGGGGATACAGGGTGCAGCTGGGGCACCTGGGGCTGGGCCATGCCACCCTTCCCCAGCACAGGACAGCCCAGAAGGGGGACGGGGCAGCCCAGGAGGGACAGGAGCCAGGACCCGCCACATCTGCTGTGCACAGGCATGGCTCGCCCTGGCCCGGGGGAGCTGCAGGGCACACTGCATTTGCAGCATCTTGGGTGCTGCCTGCTGTCCATCCCTCTGGTGTGCCCTGTCCAGGCCTCCCTGGTTCATGGCTGATTCTCTGGCAGGGTAAGGGGGGGTTAAGGACTGGCTCTGTCAGAGTCAGCATCCCCCAGGTAGGCAGGACCCAGCCTCCGAGCAAGACGGAGGATGGGGCAGGTCCAGCTCCAAGCCCAGGTGTGTTGCCGGCAGCCCCTTTCTGCCATGCCTGTTGCCCGGTGGGCCAAGGCCAGCAAGGCCGGGAGCCAGTGCAGGCTCCCAAGATGTTCCCAGAGCTCCCCAGGAAGGGCTGGGCTCCGTGTCAAGACCGCAGCATCTCCACTGCACACAAACACCTGGGCATGCTGAAATCAAGCTTCCCGGTGCCCCATCAGCACTGCTGCGGACCCCTCTTGCCCCCCTGGAGGGGCCCAGCCTCCAGCCCTGCTCACCAGTCACAGTCACAGTGAAGGTCACTGCGTTGTCACCAGCATCACATGTGTACATCCCGGAGTGCAAGAGGCCGGCAGAGCTGACGAGCAGCCTCCTTGCGCAGCCGTCCGCCTGGACGGTGACGACGTCGCCCACGGGCACGGCTTCCCCATCCTTGAGCCAGCGCACAGGCGCATCGGGTTGGGAGACCTCGCACTCCAGGAGCAGGGGCAGTCCCGCTGGGAGCGTTCGCACACGCTGGGCCTCGGGCACTGGGGCGATGCACACCTGCGGGGCTGGAGGGACCAGGAGCCCACGTCATGTGGAGCAGGAGGTCTCCACTGGGGGTGGCTGGACTGTCCCGGCTCCAGGCAGCTCCAGGGCAAGGAGCAGCAGAGCTACGTCAGGGCAGCTTCGAGAGGCAGGCAGGAGCTGGGGATGGGGGGCAGCTGACCCCTCACTGCTCAAAGCATCCTGGCACGGGACCTGCCCGCTGCAGGGGAGGGCGGAACCGGCTGTCGGTGCCGGTCTGACCAGCACATTTTCCTTCCTGAGCCCAGACGCGTCTGACCCACCTTGGTGGGAGGAAAAGCAAGACCCATAGCCGGGACTCTGTGGGCTGCTGGAGCATCAGCAGGGAGGCCAGAGAACCAGGCTGGGGCATCAGAGCAGGGCAGGGAGAGGCAGGTGCTGGGGGAAGGATGCTGCCATCCCAGACAACCCCAGTGCCGGCACCATGGCAGATGGGAGGGCAGGAGGAGCCAGGACAGGCGCCACCCAGGCCAGAGCAAGGCTGGACACAGAAGGAGCAGGGGTGGAGGGCAAGGAGCAGAGGGGAGACAGGGGCAAGGGGACGGAGAAGTGTGAGGGGCACTGACCTGCAACAGTGACATTGTAGAAGACAGAGTCGCCGCCCACGTCGCACACGTATTCGCCCGTGTCCGGAGGCTGGGCCGAGGGCAGGATGAGCCGGCAGCAGGGTCCCTCACGCTGCAGCACCAGCCGCTCACTCTCCTCCACCTCCACCCCATCCTTGTACCACTGCACCGGGGCGCTGGGGCGGGACAGCTCGCACACCAGCTCCACGCGCTCCGACGCCACATACGTGTGCACCGCCGCCTCGTTGGAGCTGATGACCCGCACGGGCGGCTCTAGCAGGGAAAACCAGGGGCTCAGCCAGGATGCTCGGGACCGGGCCAAGTCCCTTGCTGCTGGGGGGGCTTAGTTTGGGGACTCTCCTGGCGGGCAGCTCTGGCACTGGTGCCCAGGGCAGCGCCTCGGGCGCTGTGCCACAGGGCACCAGAGCGGAGACCATGCTGCAGGGCAGGGGGTGCCCAGCAGGAGGCGCTGTTCTATGGGGGGAGGTGCCCAGCAGGGGGTGCTGTGCGGCAGGGGCAAGAGGGACAAAGCAAAGGGCGTCATGCCCTGGCTGCCCCAGGGCCCCGCGCCTGCAAGACAAGAGCTCATACACATGAGCCTGGTGCCAACGCCCCCAGGGCATTTGTCCGGATGCCCCAAGGGGCAGCTGAAGGGACACGAGGGGCCAGAATGGCAGCCCTTGGCCCAGGGACACGGGGGGGCAGCATGGCATGGACGCAGGACTGGCACGGGGGCACTGACCTGCAACAGTGACATTGTAGAAGATGGAGTCACCGCCCACGTTGCACACGTACTCGCCCGTGTCTGGCAGCTGGGCCGAGGGCAGGACAAGCCGGCAGCAGGGTCCCTCACGCTGCAGCACCAGCCGCTCGTTCTCCTCCACCTCCACCCCATCCTTGTACCACTGCACCGGGGCGCTGGGGAGGGACAGCTCGCACACCAGCTCCACGCGCTCCGACGCCACATACGTGTGCGCTGCCGTCTCGTTGGAGCTGACGACCCGCACGGGAGGCTCTGGCGGGGAACATGGGGCTCAGAGAGAGCGTTGCAACTGCCCTACAAGCTCTAGCACATCCCCACCACATGGCACGGCATTTGGGTCATCGCCGGGTGACCGGCTGGCATCAAGGTTTGGGGCAGGAAGCAAAGGGGCCCTCGTCCAGGCCTCGCATTCACTGCTCGCTGTGGTGATGGTCTCAGCTGCTTCTGAATGAACTCGGGTCCAGGCCCAGAGCCCGAGCTGGACTCGTGCGGATGAGCACGGGTGACCAGCACCTCGCACCCCGGACTCCGCCCGGCCGCAGCCGCCTGCCCTGCACAAGCCTGCGGCCTGCGCTAAGACTGCACCGAGGCTTCGGCGCCAGCCCAGGAACCCGTGATTGCTTTGGCCCTGCCCTGCATCCCTCTGCTCCCAGCCAGTGTTCCCCCAAGCAACAGGGTTCGAGTCACTCCCAGCTCTGCCCTGGGCTGCTCTGCTTTGGGCACTGCCCCGGCCTCGGCTTTGTAGGCGCTGCGCGGGGCTGGGAGGGAATTCCCCCCACCCCTCCCACCCCCCATGCCTTGCTGCAGGGGGCTGAAGCCCCCGCAGAAGCACTGGATGCTGGCTGCAGCCCAGGCTGGGGCTGTGTCAATGCTCTTGCTGGGACTCAGCCCCATGGGGTCCTGGCTACAGGCCCTTGCCCCCTGCTCCCGCTGCCTTGGGGGCAGGCAGGGATTTGCCCCCTGCTCAGCCTGGCCCGGCCTGGGGGATTTCCCCTCCTTCTGCAGTGGGGGCACAGCCTGGGCTCGGGTCTCCCCAGCGCCCACCACCCCCCCAGCAGCAGCAGGACGTTGGCTGCCGCAGCCCCCCCTGTATCCTGGGGACAGGGACAGGGGCGATGCCCAGGGCTGTGTCAGGGGCAATGATGTTGTGCCGCTCCGAGGTCACACATGGGGTTTGTCTGGGTGGGTTTAGACAGGGCTGATCCTGCCTCAGGCTGGATGCGACCCCACAGCAACCTATCAACCCCATGGTGCTGGGATCCTATGACCAGACCAAACTCCTTGTATTTCCAACATCTTTTCTGCAGCCCTTCAATCACTCTCACCAGGGCACCAAAGCTCTTCTGACCTCATGGCCTCTGCAACGAGCCCTGTGCCCCCACCAGTGCCGCACACGGCGGCAGCCGGACCCTGCTCCTGCTCAGGATCCCATCCCCCTCCCAGGGGCGCCACAGCTGTCCTGGCCTCCCATCTCCCACCTGCCTCATGGCCCCTGTTGTTTTCTGCCTGTTGGACCCAGGTTCCCAGCCGGGCCCCTCACCCCCATGCGCAGGAACTGTGTGCCCAGAGCCTGTCTACCACCTTTCCCCACCGTACTCAATAAAAACATCAGCAAAGGTCCTTCCCCTTGGGGGAGAGATGGCAATGACCCAGGCAACCACCCGTGTGGCAGTGACCCAGGCCAGCCAGCACCGACCGTGCTGTCAGTCTCTAGCTCATTCCCAGGGTCCAAACAACGCTCTCCTGCGGTGTCGGGGTCAGCACCGGGCTAGCAGGTCTATGGCTCTCTGCCCCATCTCTTTTACCCTCCCCAAATGCTGGCACGATCCTTTAGCTTCCTCTATCAACCACCTCCACCTGGTACCAGTGCTGCTAAGTTTCCAGTGCTTTTCCATTCCTCGTGCCACGGTGTCCCTGTCTCGCACTGCTGCTGGCTCAGCTCCTTTCAGCAGCACTGGGTCCTACCTGGCACCAGCCAGGGTTGTGTGTGTGGGATCATGACCCTTTGGGCACCTGCAGGATGGCCACGAACAAGCCTCAACGGCACAGGCGGTGGAGGCGGCCGCAAGAGCAAGCGGGGCCTGGGGGCATCAGAGGACATGCTGCTGCGGAAGCCAGAGCAGAACAGAAAGGGCACGAGGGAAAGCCCAGGCCAGAAGTGAGCAAGACAGACAGAAAAGTTTCCAGACAGACAGAACAAGGCAGGCAGGAGGGCAAAGGAGCCACAGAAGAGGCAAGAGGAATCCTCTGCGCAACAAAAAGCAAACATGGGGTGCCTGCACCAGGATACACTGACCTGCAACGGTGACATTGTAGAAGACGGAATCGCCGCCCGCATCGCACACGTACTCGCCCGTGTCCGGCGGCTGGGCCGAGGGCAGGACGAGCCGGCAGCAGGGTCCCTCACGCTGCAGCACCAGCCGCTCGCTCTCCTCCACCTCCACCCCGTCCTTGTACCACTGCACCGGGGCATCGGGGCGGGACAGCTCGCACACCAGCTCCACGTGCTCCGACGCCACGTACGTGTGCGCTGCTGCCTTGTTGGAGCTGACAACCCGCACAGGCGGCTCTGGCGGGAGGAAACCAGGGGCTCAGCTGGGGTGCCCGGGGCCTAGCTAAGTCCCTTGCTGCTGGGGGGGCTCAGCCTGGGGCTTCTCCTTGGCAGGCAGCTCTGGCACCGGTGCCCAGGGCAGCACCACAGGTGCTGTGCTGCAGGGTGGCGGGGCAGGGGAGCTGTGCTGGGGGATGGGGGGTGCCCAGCAGGGGGCACTATGTGGTGGGGGCAAGAGGGACTGAGAAGAGGGTATAGCACCCCTGGCACTGGGGCTGCGGGACAGGAGCTCATACACACGAGCCCAGTGCCTGCGCCCTGCGGGGTTTGGCTGGACAGCCCACGGGGCAACTGAAGGGACAGGACGGCAGCAGCTCGGACCAGGGGCAGCGGGGAGGCAGTGGGGCACAGACCCAGGGCCGGTGCAGGGGCACTGACCTGCAACAGTGACATTGTAGAAGATGGAGTCACCGCCCACATCGCACACGTACTCGCCCGTGTCCGGCGGCTGGGCCGAGGGCAGGACGAGCCGGCAGCAGGGTCCCTCACGCTGCAGCACCAGCCGCTCGCTCTCCTCCACCTCCACCCCATCCTTGTACCACTGCACCGGGGCG